TCTCATGTTTATAAGAGATAAGCTTTTTATTTATAAATCATATGGATGTCAGCTGTTATTTATTGACAGATTATATTTATTGATTAACACTAATAATACCAGCAAGTATTTTTTGGTGTTAAGTAAAAAATAAATAAACATTTATTTTTTACTTAACGTTTACACAGTCATGTTATTATCACGTTTTTTAAATACAATGATTTTAGAGTCTAAAATTTAGACGCAATCATTCTCATATTAAATTATTGCTTTTTTTTCTAGGAAATATTTTTTCGTCTAAAAAATTCTTTAAAAAATAAAGAAAATTTTCTTAAATCACACTGAATATTTTTATACCCACCATCAAAAAAGATGGGGGGTATATTGTTTTTGTCATTCCGTGTGTAACACATCGAAATATTGTTCACAGACCCAATAAAGTATATATATTCTGGGACCTCGTAAGATTCTAAGACGATCTAGCTATGTCCGTCCGTCTGCCCATCTGTCTGTTTTTGGCACGATAGAGTCCACAAACAAAGAGATATTGAGATGAAATTTTCCCAAAATATTTCTTATTGATCAGAAATGTTTGGTATTGAAAATGGGCAAAATTGGTCAACGATTTAACATAGCCCCCATACAAATGTACCCCCCGGAATATTGTATAAAGAGCTTCAAACATTCACAAATTCGTTGTTTATGAAGCAAATACCACAAAATTTCGCATAGGTCAGTTTTTTGACTTCTGAAATAAAATTCTGAATTATGGCGGACATAGGACCATACTTGGCCCTACCCCCCATATAAGGTCCCCTTTAGAAAATGACTAAAATGCTGAATACTAGCTTAAAAATACGAATATAGCAATGAAATTCCACACACATAAATTTCATGCCAGCTAATATCTCTCCACTAAATTTAATGTGGATCGGTCCATAATTGATCCTACCCTACTTTAACGCTCATTACGAGCCTTAAAATACGAGTGTAGCAACGGAATTTCATGGAAGTAAGTTTTATACTAGCGAAAATCTCTCCACCAAATTTTTTTTGTGGATCGGTCCATAATTGACCCAACCCCCTATATAAGGTCCCCTTCAGAAAATGACTTTAACGCTCATTATTGGCATAAAAATACGAGTATAACGAAGAAATTTGACATAAATATGTATCTTCGGAGCCAAAACATTTCCACCTTATTTTATATGGATCGGTCCATAATTGACCCTACCCCCCCATATAAGGTCCCCTCCATAAAATTACTTTAACGCTCATTACTGGCTTAAAAATACGACTATAGCGGTGAAATTTAACAGAAGTAAGTTTTATACCAGCCAAAACCTCTCTACCAAATTTTATGAGGATCGGTCCATAATTGACCCTACCCCCGATATAAGGTTCCCTTCAGAAAACGCTCAATATTGGCGTAAAAATACGAGTATAGCAAAGAAATTTGACATAAGTAAGTATCTTAGGAGCGAAAACCTTCCCACCAATTTAATGTGGATCGGTCAATAATTGACCCTACCCCCCATATAAGGTCCCCTCCATAAAATTACTTTAACGCTCATTACTGGCTTAAAGATACGAGTACAGCGATAAAATTTTACAGATGTAAGTTTTATACGAACCAAAATCTCTCTACCAAATTTTATGTGGATCGGTCTATAATTGATCCTACCCCCCATATAAGGTCCCCTTTAGAAAATTACTTTTAAGGCCCATTACTGACTTAAAAATACGATAGCAATAAAATTCGACTCAAGTAAGTTCCTTGCGATCCAAAATCTCTTAACCAAATTTTTTGTGGATCGGACCTTAACTGACAACCCCCCCCCCACCACACATATAAGGTCCCCATCAGAAACATAATTTAACGCTCATTACTGGCCTAAAAAACGAGTAAAGCGATTAAATTCGATATAAACTTGATCTGTATAAATAAAAATCGTTCTACGAGATTTAAGGATGATCGGTTCATAATTAGTCTTACCCCCCCTATATAAGGTCCCCTTAAGAAAATTAATTTAACTGGCAATGCAATTCGACATAAACTAATTTTAACCTAAAATCTCTCCACCATATTTTATGAGGATCGGTCCATAATTAACCCTAACCCCGTATAAGGCCCCTTTAAGAAAATTACTTTAATGCTCATTACTGGCTTAGAAATATAAGTAGAACTATAAAATTTGAAATTAATAAGGAACTGAAATCTTCTTACCGTCAAATCCGAAATATTCTTTGAGCGCACGCTACAGGTCGCTATTTTCCAGATAATTTGATGAAATTTGCACATAATCTTTTTACGATTTTTTAACTCATACATAATTATATTAAATGTTCTAGTATCTCTACATAAATCGGCATAACGTTGTTTTATATACATCTAAATTATACTCCCAATTTTCGTAATGATCGGTCCATATTTGACCCTAGCCCCCATACGAAGTCCCCTTCGGAAAATCACTTGAAGGTCAAAATTCACTTGATTAAATCTTTCATAAATAACTGTTATGTAAACGGAAATCCCTCTACCAAAATGCATAAGGATAGGCCCATATTAACCCTTGCCCCTACATAACTCCTCCTTTGGAAAATCTCTGCTCCGTGCTGGCCTATTCCACGGTGGTCTTTTTCATCCACTGTGTGAACTTCTTTGACGATTCACCATCGCCCCTTTGTGTATCTTACACACGGGTGGCAATTACATGGTTCTGCCGGTTAAAGTACTCGAGCTATCTAATTATTTGCCATAGCAGTCCCGTTGAGGAATGACAGTTATCATGAGTCAAGCTCAATCAAACCCCGACAAAAGAAAAAGCAATCACTGGTGGAAAAGGAAAATCAATAAGGAAAGCCCCCTATTGATGCTATTACGAATTCCCTGTCCCTACCGGCATTCTCATTCTCTCTGAGATGGGACGTAACTGGTAGTTCGAAACACAGTTCTACATTTAATTAGCGCGACTTATTTAAGTGGCTAAAAGGACCTACTGTGATAAGTTAAGTATGTTTTAGAGTAAAATCCAACACACTCAACCATTAAAAAAAATCTTAGATAAATTAAAGATTAAGGTATTAACAACTCCGCCAACGCCTCAACCAACTCCACCGCCACTCCAACCATGTCATTTCGACATCTGCACGAATACATCTCAGAATCTTTCGTATCCATCAGATACTTGTGTCTGTATATCTCACACCAACGCATACCCAATCTTTGCATTATCATCTCAAATTTTATTAACCCACAGGTCTTGCCCTGTGGTTTGTACTGCTCCTAGTTTCTAGGACAGAAACTTATCCCGAACATTTATATTTCACCGTGTATCATCTAGCACCACTTCCCGCGGAATCGGAGCCACTACGTGGATCCCGAATGAACCTCAACCAACTGACCAGCCAGGACCAAGTCCTGCCAGCAACTGGACACCCGTAGTACCAGATTATAAATAGCATAGACGATTAAGTAATGTCCGTCTGTCTGTCTATCTGTTTATCTGTCCACCTGTCTGTCTATATGTTGAAATTTATTTTCTAAAGACCCCAGATATCTGCGGGATACAAATCTTCTATAGTTCTTTCAAACATGCCTTCGAAAAGTTTCCTATTTAAAATCAGTAAAATCCGTCCTTAAATAACGGAGATATGAGCAGAAATCCGGTGCAACCTCTGAAAATTTCATCAAAACAGCGCAAAGCTTCGCATCGCTTGTAGCACCCACTCTGACATCAGCCTATAACTTGAGCTAAGCAAGTTATATAAAATCCAAAATCTATCTGTGAAATTTCACGCAATTGAAGATTTCCGTGAATAACTAACTCAAAGACCTTTCCAAGTATAGACGCCAGGATATATACATATTTTCATTTACGGTGGGAACATTAGTTACTTCAATTTTGGGACCAACCTAATGTAAGTAGATACATATAAGTATTTCCAGTGCGAATTTTAAACAGCTGATTCATACACTGAAAAAATATTATTTATAATTTATAAAAATACTTTTATGAATAGTTTTAATTTAACAAATATTTATATCATGTTTTAGCAAAATCCTTTGAAATTGTTTATAACAGCAGTTTATTTTGAATTTAAACTAAAATCTTATTTAAAATTTATTGTTGTAGATAAACCTAACAAAAAGTGAGAGAAAAAGAGAGAATATGGAAAAGAGAGCTTTTTCAAATTTGCTAGATGACACAATTTACGTCCTTTTTTTCACAAGAAAACAACGATAAAAGCAAAGAATTGCAAATAAAAATGCGTATAAAATAGAAACAGCATAAGATGAAAACAACAATATTAAGTGAATATGTGTGTGTCCCTGTATATGAGAGTCTTATATTACAATGTATGATTGAGTGTGTAGTTAGAAGTATGATAAATATTAACGGTAACCATGTTGTTATTTTGGCAGCGCTGCCAAAAAGGACAAGAGCAAATGAATAAGGCAAAAACTAGAGCAACACAAACGTAAAGGATAACATTGTCCTAGCACACACACACATACAACTGCACACTAAGAAATTAAAGAAAAACAAAAAAGAAAAAAATGTTTTTCTAAAGAGAACAATGACATGACAAACACTATGACAAATAAGTAACAGTAGTAAAAAGCAATAGGCTGCTGGTCGTTCGTGAGGTTAGTTGTAAATGTACGCAAAGGAATAAACCAAAAAATACAAAAAAATATATATTTTTATTATAATTGAGAGAACAAAAAAAAAAAAAAAACAACAAAATTAATCATAAAAAAAGAAAAAAAAAAAAATTGGATGATGAAGTGCTAAAAAAATTTTATTAAAGCGAAAATTATCAGTGATAAATATACAACAAAGAAAAAAATTAAAAAAAAAATATATAATATAAATACAAATTTTAATTCGACCTAATTTAATAAAAAGCTAACGAAATTATTATATTTTAAAGAAACCTAAATTCAACAAATTTTCCTAACAAAAAAAAGCAATATTTAACGATTTTTCTAAAAGAAAACACACACCAAATAAAGCAAAAAAAAAAATATTGTGTTAAAAAACTTATTTATTAAATTAATAAAAAAATATATATAACTAAAGAACAACAAAAAAAAAAACCTCCTATTTGTAGTGTTTGATTTTGGTTTTTGTACGATTGTTATTGTTTATTTCTGTTCTTGTTCTTCTTCTTGTTGTTGTTGTTATTGTTGTTGCTATATATAATTGTAGTAGTTTGTAAATTAATAATACTAATAAAGTATTTGTTTGTGTATTTGTGTGCCTATATGCCCATTGAGTGCCTTATATCCTTTGATAACAATACTCAAGGTGTTTATTATGCTGGTCAAGAATTATCTGGCGTTGTTGATCTTACAGTTGATACAACAAAACGTATTAAAGGTAAGAAGACATAGGAAAACAATGTCTAATAACAATAAATACAATGTAAATAAATTATAATTTTATTAAATTAAATAGCAAATTTATAAGAATATATTTTTTAATATACATACTATATTATCCATGAGTATGACTCAAATTGGGATGCATATTTGTTGTTGTAATGTTTTACCAATTTTATTTTAAATATGATTAAATTTGTAGACATTTTATGCGTTGTTGTCTGTTGTCATGTACATACATATTTATGTATATGTATGTATGTACGTACAAACATTAACATTTCATTTATAGTATGTATAAATATTTGTGAAAATTGTGTCATTATCGCAGACATTTATCTAATATCTCACTCAATTCATGGGAAATTTGCTTTAAATATGTATGTAGATAGTATTACAGTATAACCCAGCAAGAGTTCAATTTAAATCAAGTAAGAAATTATTGTCGGGCGAGACCGACTACACCTGTTACAAAAGTAAAATGTGATTAAGGTTTCATAATAAATTATTTAAGTTGAATTGTATCTTGACTCAGATATACTTAAGCCATTTATTGTTGAATAAAATTGTAAATATTTAAGTAAAATTTTGAAGGGGGATTTGTATAGGGGCTATGGCCAAATGATACCCTATAATTATAAAATTATTGAGAGTCTTCAAGGCTAGTATAGAACCTGGTTTTGCAGCTTTTTGTCGAGATTCGAGTATATTAAACATAATTATGAACTTAAAATCCCTATTCGTCGGGTTCAGTTGTATGGGGGCTACGTGAAATAATGGACCGATGTTAACCATTTTCAATAGGCTTCGTCTCCGGTACTATAGAAGATCATGTGCCAAATTTTATTGAATTATCTTCAAAATTGCGACCTGTAGTTTGATTACAAGGTTGACAAGCCCTACCCGGGGTACAGTTGTATGTGGGCTAGGTTAAATAATGAACCGATCTTAACCATTTTCAATAAGCTTCGTCCCTGTGACAATAGACGATCATGTGCCAAATGTCATTGAATTATCTTCAAAATTGCGACCTGTACTTTGATTAAAAGGTTTACAAGGACGGACGGACATAGCTAAATCGACTCAGAATATGATTCTAGGCCCACTTGGTCCTATACCTACTTTATGGTGGATATAGGACCAATATTACTGTGCGTTACAAATATCAGCACAAACCCAATATACCCTCCCCACTAAAGTGGTGTAGGGTATAACAAATAACTTAATTAAATTTTATATATAGATATTATTACATTTGTCTTTTCTGGCCTAAGGATAAAACCTATTGAAAATATTTAATCTCTTCAGATCGGTTAAAATCATTTTCTGATGAGGAACCCGTTTACATAAAATTTCAACTCTCTCCTGTTATTTTTCAGCCAGCTATGATCATTGAAGTCATTTTCTGAAGGGGGCCTTTTATGACAAAACATGTTTAAACTGTATTCCGTAGGACCACCCCTGAAGTTATGTTACCTTGATAAAATACACCATCTTGGTGTGATTGCAATCCTGGTGAAAAGAGGTGCTACTAGTAGCTTTAGTCTGCCGGCACTATAAATTGGTTATGAGCAAATGTATTCGCTGCCTTTCCTTGGAATGATTTGACATGGGGTCGAACCAGAGAACCATATAATCTGGTACCACGAGAACTGGTGGTTTCGGACTTTGTCTTGTCTCGGTTATTGGAGAGCTCCCTTCGGGGTACACGTGGTGGCTGATTTAAACCCAAATTCGCGAGATACTGTATATGATACAGTATTAATGTAGGGATAAACGGATCTTACCCGCCCGTATACCTAGAGTAAGTGTGTCGAATGTTGTTCTCTATGGGTATGTCGAATGAATGAGAAGTGTGCTGGGTTGAATGGTGATAGATGAAATGTAACTTATACATTGAATTTTTCCTTCCTTGTCCAGGAAAAAATCTGTTCAAACCAAATTTACCACAGTGTGTTCTCTGTGAGTAAGAACAAAGTCCTCCGCTTATTTGATGGTCTACCGAATACGTCTCTAGGTGCTGTCGCCGACTTAACAGAGGCCATCCCATCTGCGTGGTTGTAAACAGAAGTGATGTTGTTGCGTTAAGCAACGGGGCAGCAATGGTCAGAGATACAGAACATTGTACAAAAATTGCGTTTAAGATCTCTGTCAAATAAGGCCAGCAGGTGTTCGCATAGAGCACTTTGACATCTTGTATTTCGTAGGCCACTAGTATGCGGGCTAGGTAAAATCGTGAACCGATCTTGTTCGTTTTCTATACCAAACAACTTGCATTAATAAAAAACAGTGTAGTCTAAATTTTACCAGAATGGGATGGTGAAAAGTTAAACTAACGCACGATATAGCTTCGAAGAGCACTACTTAAAGACCAGAACCGCTAAACCGAAACTACATTAACGGCTGGCGCTCTTTGTTTTAACTTTCTTTTATTCAATTAAAAATTTATTTATGTAGGAAATTTTTCAAAACTTAAAAAAATTTAACTTTAAGTTTAAATTAACCCTTAAGAACAATAGTAGGATATAATTGCATTATTTATCTTGTAGTGTAGTATTTTATAAACTAGAAATTACTATACATGATAACATTATTACATTCTTGTGTCATCAAAAGTCACTCAGGGAATATGTAACCTAATGGTACTTTGTGTATAGTTTTAATACGTTAAAGTGTTTGCATATTAATTAAATCATTTCAAAGTTGGAAAGGTTATATTAAAGTTAAGTACTTAAGATATTAACTACTCAGTTAATATATTCTATAGCACAATATAGAACCAGCACATCAATCAAAAGTATAGAGTGCAAAATGTTGTTATTCAAAACATAATCAATCAATCGTAAAAGATTTTCTAAGGAAACACCGAATTGAAATAATTTAATTAATTTTTTTTAACCCACAGACCGTACTTTTCCCGTTGAATCCGAATCTGACCTCAGAATTTCTACATAATATTTGGAATTTCGATATGTCTTCACCTAAAGCTTGATATAACAGTACATTGACAAATACTGTATTTTTTCGTACATTTCACTTTTAAAACAGGTACATTCCTATTTCTCAGATCTTTTTCTATGAAATTATCTTTTGTATTTGCTGAGATATCATCCGTTGAAGTTGACTGACAGACAGATATCGTTAAGTCAAATCAGAAAATAATTTTTTCACTTAATAGAAGAAATTTAACATTGACGAAAGATATAACCCAAACTCAGAGAGTCCATATACAAAAGAAAACAACTTCAGTCAATGATATAACAATATTTGTTAAAGCACCTTTTAAAACAAATAATTATTTATCTGAAGCTTTTCATTAAATAAAAACTTATTTTAAATAGTTCCCATTTTTTAAATCTTATCTCTTGATCGATCTTAATTATATTTTAAAACATTTCATACGCATTATGATTTGAATTATTTGCATTTGTCGTATGTTAATTGCTTTTTTGAAGGTTTACATACCAATACACCATTGTCATTATACCCAACAGTATTGCAAGGGAGTCCATGTATCAGTTTTGGACACTATTTTCTCCATACAAAACAAAATTTAATATATTTTTTGTTTTATTTGTAATACTAAGATTTTAATGACCCCAAAGTAATTCAGAAAGAAAGTAAATTGTCTCTGTAGAGATCTCGAGACATTTCGCTATAATGGTCTTGGATCTTGGACTATTACAAACCCTGTGGTTCATTTAAAATGAAGTGAGAATTCAATTGGTGTTGTTCGAGACACTGTCATTAAAGAACGCGTAGCTAAAAAATGTACTTTTTCTATAGAAAAGAAACGCTAATGAGACACTATTTCTATAGAAAACTGCATCTGAAGAAGACATATTTTTCTCAGTTTAAAAAACTATCGCTAAAGAAGACAATTTTTCGATTGAAAAATTGTGATTAAAAACAAGTTAGAGTGCTATATTCGGCTGAGCCGAATCTTAAATACCCTCCACCAGCTACTTTTATATTAATACTTTTCTAATTGATCAAACGTTTGTCCAAATAAGTCTTCTCATGTCTTAAATAGATAAATCCCAAGATTTAAACAGCTTAGATCTATTACAATTCCAAGATTTATTGAACATTATAAACGCCATTTTCTTTTATATTTTTATAGTGCTTAGCAATATTTAATAATTTGCATGTATGCATGTGTGTGAAAGATTTAAGGATTTTGAAAATACATACATATATATAATTTTGTTCTACACAAATTGATAATGCAAATAGTTAAATAAGGTTAAAGCGCTTTTAGGGGCAGTTCCTAGTATGAGAGATAAGATCAATTATAGACCGATCGTAAAAAATTCTTTAAGCAAAATTTCTGTACATAAAAGCTATATTTCAGTAAAATTTTGTATCTATATCGTAACTTAGTATAGCTTTATTTGGTAATGAGTAATGTGCGTTTAAGAGATTTTCGTAAAAGGACCTTGTATGGGAGCTATGACCAATTATGTATATAAAGACAAAATTTCAAAATTCTGTATCTATATCATTATTTGGTAATGAATATTGTTCATCTAAGTGATTTTCTGGAGGGGACCTAGTATGAGAGCTATGACCAATAATGGACCGATCGGGAAAAAATTTCACAGTAACATTTCTGTGCATACGACTAATACTTGTACCAAATTTTATATGGATATCTTAATTTAGTAATGAGCTATGCGCGTTTAAGTGATTTTCGGGAGGGGACCTTGTATGGGAGCTATGAGCAATTATGGACCGATCGGGAAAAAATTTCACAGTAACATTTCTGTGCATATAAACAATACTTGTACCAAATTTTATATGGATATCTAAATTTAGTAATGAGCTATGCGCGTTTAAATGATTTTCGGGAGGGGACCTTGTATGGGAGCTATGACCAATTATGGACCGATCGGGCAAAAATTCCATAGTAACAGTTCTGTGCATATGAGTATTACTTGTACCAAATTTTATATGGATATCTTAATATAGTAATGAGCTATGCGCGTTTAAGTGATTTTCGGGAGGGGACCTTGTATGGGAGCTATGACCAATTATGGACCGATCGGGAAAAAATTTCACACTAACATTTCTGTGCATATAAACAATACTTGTACCAAATTTTATATGGATATCTTAATTTAGTAATGAGCTATGCGCGTTTAAGTGATTTTCGGGAGGGGACCTTGTATGGGAGCTATGAGCAATTATGGACCGATCGAGAAAAAATTTCACAGTAACATTTCTGTGCATATAAACAATACTTGTACCAAATTTTATATGGATATCTTAATTTAGTAATGAGTTATGCGCGTTTAAGTGATTTTCGGGAGGGGACCTTGTATGGGAGCTATGTCCAATTATGGACCGATCCAGAAAATTTTTTCTCTGAATGAATTCTATTGACATAAGATTTTAATTTGTAAAATTTTGTGAAGATATCAACATTCTGACGGAAGCTATTAACAAAAAACCCATTTTCCGGGAATATGTACTTTTGTATGGGAGGTATATGAAATTGTGGACCGATTCTGGCAATTTTTAGCAGGGATCAAGCTCTTGTGTAGAAACGAATGTGTGGTGATTTTCATTGAATTACCTTGCTTATTTTTTTCGAGGTTGTTTTAAATTTTGATTCATAACTTTTCCCGGTGTTAACCGATTTTGCCCATTTTCAATACCAAACAACTTAGGAAAATGAAGAACATTTTGGGTGAATTTGGTTAAACTCTATTGCTTCGTTTTATCGTGAGCGTGTTTTACACAGACAGACGGACAGACGGACATAGCTAAATCGACTCAGAATTTGATAAGGACCCAGAATATATATACTTTGTTGGGTCTCAGATGAATATTTCTTGGTGTTACACACGGAATGACAAAGTTGTATATACCCTCTATCACCACTGATGGTGGTGGAGGGTATAAAAAACAGAGATTGTTTCGGATTTTTTGCTTATATCACCGTTATTTATGGTCGGATTTTGCTGATATAAAAACAAAAATAGGAAACTTCTCGGAAGTATGTCTGACAGAGTTATTGATGATTTGGGTCCCGAAAAAAATTGATTTCAACAAATACACAGACGGAGAGACAGAAAGACAGACAGACAGACAGAAAGACAAACAGACATACTGACATACAGACATAGAGACAGACAGACAGACAGACAGACAGACAGACAGACAGACAGACAGACAGACAGACAGACAGACAGACAGACAGACAGACAGACAGACAGACAGACAGACAGACATAGAGACAGACAGAAAGACAGGCAGACAGGCAGACAGACAGACAGACAGACAGACAGACAGACAGGTAGACAGACAGACAGACAGACAGACAGACAGACAGACGGACAGACAGACAGACAGACAGACAGACAGACAGACAGACAGACAGACGGACAGACAGACAGACATACTGACTGACAGACTTTATCGACTAAAAAATTGCTGTTTTCTGTAGAGAAACTGTCGCTAACAAATAACGTTTTTTTATAAAAATACTCTATCTCAGAAGAAACAATTTCTATAAAAAAAACCCGTCTATCAAGAAGATACTTTTTCTATAAAAAACCTATCCCTCACGATGACATTTTTTTCCCTCATTAATATACTTTTTCTATGGAAAAACTTTCCCTCAAGAAGTTAGCCCAAACTGCAGGACATTTTTATTCATAATGTTAATGTAACGTGTTATTGCAAATACTACATACATATACAGTCAAAACATATGAGTACATGTGAATAATTATAACAACAACAGCATTTCCGTTTGCATGTAGGTATATTTCAACATACACTCTTATATTTGCATTTCCTGTTTTATTATTTTTGTTTGTTTGTTTGTTGTTGTCTCTGTTGTTGTTATTGTTGTTTTCTGTTGTTGTCATTTTCATATTATGAACATTTTATCTATGTGCTCTATATAATTATATCCTATTTTTAGTTTGAAAATTTTGTAAATAAACTTTTGTTTTGTTATTCATAGTATGTGAGAATGGTTTTTGGCATGCAGCCATTAACTGTGACCACAAAACATGATATTTGTTAGTAAATAATTGTGGGAAAAAAATAGGTCTAGACAGATAATGGAAACACCCTAAGGAGGATGTGATATACATATACATACACATATGTAATATAACTTAGTAAAGTTGAAGTTTAAGGAATAGGAAAGGGGAATGAAAGAAGTTTGATTGATGACCATTTTAAGCTATTAAATCAAATTAAAAGTAAAAAAGTTATAAACTTTCTTGATCACCTACATATTAATATGTCTATCTTTAACTCAATCCATGGAAATGTTTAAACTAAGTAAAGTATATTTATTACACAAGGTTTCACTTAACTCCTACAGAAAGGTTCAAGGCTCATGATAACTCAAAACCGGTTGCCAAATTTTGTAAGGATTGTTACTAGTCCTTTTATTTGTATATACATATGTATGTGTTGTAGGGCACATATATACTCACTCTTGCCAATAACCAACCTCTTTTTCTGGTTTTGTCATTACTACCACTGTTGTCGTTATTATATTTGTTGTTATTGTTGTTGTTGCTGTTTTTGGTTCTTTAGTGGTCCTTTGAGAATAAAAGCTTAAAATTATACTCGGTCGTGTAATGAAATTGCAGTGGAAAATTAATTACAATGTCAACATTAAATTGCAGTGGCGCCTAATTGCAGTTTATATTATTTTGTACAAAAATTGTTTTAGCTTTTTGTTTGTTTGCTAAAGATGAAATTTGAGATATTAAGAGAGTAATATAATATGTTAATGCCTGAGTTAAATAGAAACAAATGTAGTTATATAAGTGATGCCAGAATTTTAGTAGATGACCACTTTTTGTTAAAGGAATTTGTAAAATATTTAATATTTCCATCTTGGCAGTCTTTTTTAAGATACCAATCTTCTACAAGACATGATATTCTATGTAAGTTCAGTGCCTCAAAGTTCTGTCTCTGGTGTGCGATCGGGCAGGACCTATATTAGTGTACATCCTTCCAGTATGTAGTGTTGATGTGTCTCATGAAACATTTTGTTGGAAATTTAGAAATGATTTTATATTTAAGGAAAAATCTGGCAACTCTGCATACATAACAAGTAAGAATTAATAGTCGGGCGAAGCCAACCATATAATACCCTACACCTGTTACAAAAAAAATGTGATTTAGTTTTCATAACAAAGCATTTAATTTGAAGTGTACCTTGCTTCAGATATACTTAAGCCATTTATTGTTGAGTAAAATTGTGGACATTTAAGTCAATTTTTGAAGGGGGCTTTATATAGGGGCTAGGGTCAAATGAGGCCCTATAATTATAAAATTCATGAGGGTCATCAATGCTAGTATAGAACTTGGTTTAGCAGTTTTTGTCAAGATATGAATATATTAAACATAATTATAAACTTAAAAGCCCTATTCGGCCGGTTCAGTTGTATCGGAGTTAGGTGAAATAATGGACCGATGTTAACCATTTTCAATAGGCTTGGGACAATAGATGATCATGTGATAAATTTCATTGAATTATCAGCAAAATTACGACCTGTAGTTTGATTACAAGGTTTACATGGACAGACGGAAGGAGGGATAAACGGATGGACATAGCAAAATCGACTCAGAAAATGATTCTAAGTCGATTGGTATAGGACCAATATTATTGTGCGTTACAAACATCAGCACAAACCCAATATACCCTCCCCACTAAAGTAGTGTAGGGTATAAATATGTATATAAAATCTGCAATCATACATATGTACATATAGATACATTATTTTTAAAAGATTAACATTAAGATATCAAGAATATTTAATATTTACTTTAAGTGTAATAAAAATGTCTCTTTTCCTATTTGTTCTTATCCCTGCCTTCACATCACACACATACATACATACATACTTAGCCATACACATTACCGTTAATGGTTATGCCAAGATACGCTGGATAAAAAAGGGCTATCCACGTGATAATGAACGTGCCATGTGTCGAGCCTATCGTTCGTATTTATCGTCACGTTCATATGTTTTGGGCTCATGCGGTGCAACAACTTATATGGATTGGTTAGCTGGTGAATACTCATATACATTTCATGTTATACTGCCGGACAATTTGCCAACATCATTTGATGGGAAATATGGTCAAATACATTATGAAATAATAACAACAATAGATAGACCAGGACGTTATCCTAAAGTTTTTAAATTGCCATTTACCGTAATACAGCCGTTAGATTTAAATGCCGATGCCATTTATAGGGTAAGTTAAACTATAACGATAAAAACTGTATAAAAAAATCAATTAATAAGTTTATCTTTTTTATTACCAGGTACCTTTAGACATTCTCGATCGCAAACGATTTTGGAGTTTTTGCTGTCCAACCGGTCCACTAACCGTTAAATTCTCCACTCCCTATTGCGGCTATGCACCGGGTCAAAAAATCCATTTCGTTTTATACATCAACAATGAATCCTCCATAGATATAACCGAATGTGATGTTAAACTAAAGCAAGAGGTCTCCTATGAGACCCATGATCCCCAGCATGAATATCGTTATGATAAACATTTGATTGCCTGCAAACAATTTGGCAACGTTTTGCGCTGGAGTCGCAAAGTTTATCGAGGGTATTTAGAACTGCCATCTATACCGCCGACATCGGTGAAAACAACGTGTCCTATAACCGTTAATTATGCCATTAAAATTATTATAAAACCAACAGAGTTCCATTGGAAAATGAAATTGAAAATACCACTGACCATCGGTAGTATACCAATTATGGATAATGGTGGTGGCGAGGGAGGTATTAGTGCCGTTGGTGGTGTTGGTGGAAATGCTTTAGTTCAGTCGAATAACAATAGTATAATACGTGGTCCATTGGATAATGAATCGCCACCCATGACAACATTAGATGATGTTGGCATTTTGGCTGAAGAAGAAGATCCAAATCAAAATACACCCACTATAATGGTGACTGATACAACAGACAATCCTCCAGATTATATAGCTATGAGTGAGTTCGAAAAGGAATTTTTATTAAAAGTACATTTCAATTAAAAAGCTGTGCTTTAATTAAAAAAAAAATATTTTTTAAAAAGTGTTTTTTTTTTTTTGAGAAAAAGTTTATTTAAAAAAATTCTAAATAAGATTTTTAAATTTTCATGAAATTATTTTCACTTTTTTTAAAAAAAAAGATTTTTTATCGAAAATTTTTGTTTTTGAATTATCTTGGAAAATGTTTTATTGAAATTTTTTCTTAAAAAGAAGTTATATTGAACTATTTTTATACCCACCATCAAAAAAGATGGGGGGTATATTGTTTTTGTCATTCCGTTTGTAACACATTGAAATATTCGTCTAAGACCCATAAAAGTATATATATTCTGGGTCCTTATAAGATTCTAAGACGATCTAGCCATGTCCGTCCGTCTGTCCGTCTGTCCGTCTGTCCGTCTGTCCGTCTGTCCGTCTGTCTGTCTGTCTGTCTGTTGAAAACACGATAGAGTCAAAATGGAATCAGCTAGGGTGCTGAAATTTTGCACAGATACTTTTAGTTGATGCAGTTTGTTTGGTATTGAAAATGGGCAATATCGGTCCACAATTTCGCCTAGCCCTCATATAAGGCCCCCTTCAGAAAATGACTTTATCGCTCATAACTTGCTAAGGGAAGAACCAATAGCGGTGAAATTTGGCACAAATATGTTTTATGGGAACACAAATCTCTTCGTAGAATTTTATAAGGATCGGTCCATAATTGACCCTACCCCCCATATAAAGTCCCCTTCAGAAAATGACTTTATCGCCCATAACTGCTTAAGAAAAGCATCAATAGCGGTGAAATTCGGCACAAACGTGTTTTATGGGAACCTAAATCTCTCTGTAAAATTTTATAAGGATAGGTCTATAATTGACCCTACCCCCCATATAAAGTCCCCTTCAGAAAATGACTTTATCGCTCATAACTTGCTAAGGGAAGAACCAATAGCGGTGAAATTCGGCACAAACATGTTTTATGGGAACCTAAATCTTTTTTTAAAATTTTATAAGGATAGGCTCATAATTGACCCTACCTCCCATATAAAGTCCCCTTCAGAAAATGACTTTATCGCCCATAACTGGCTTAGAGAAGCATCAATAGCGGTGAAATTCGGCACAAACATGTTCTATGGGAACCTAAATCTCTCTGTAAAATTTTATAAGGATCGGTCCATAATTGACCCTACCCCCCATATAAAGTCCCCTTCAAAAATTACTTTATCGCTAATAACTTGCTAAGCGAAGAACCAATAGCGGTGAAATTCCGCACAAACATGTTTCATGGGAACCTAAATCTCTTTTTAAAATTTTATAAGGATAGGCTCATAATTGACCCTACCCCCCATATAAAGTCCCCTTCAGAAAATGACTTTATCGCCCATAACTGGCTAAGAGAAGCATCAATAGCGGTGAAATTCGGCACAAACATGTTCTATAGGAACATAAATCTTTTCGTGGAATTTTATAAGGATAGACCCATAATTGACCCTACCCCCCATATAAAGTCCCCTTCAGAAATGACTTTATCGCCCATAACTGGCTAAGATAAGCATCAATAGCGGTGGAATTCGGCACAAACATGTTCTATGGGAACATAAATCTCTTTGTAAAATTTTATAAGGATAGGCCCATAATTGACCCTACCCCCCATATAAAGTCCCCTTCAGAAAATGACTTTATCGCCCATAACTGGCTAAGAGAAGCATCAATAGCGGTGAAATTCGGCACAAACATGTTTTATGGGAACATAAATCTCTTCATATAATTTTATAAGGATCGATCCATAATTGACCCTACCCCCCATATAAAGTCCCCTTCAGAAAATGACTTTATCGCCCATGACTGGCTAAGAAAAGCATCAATAGCGATGAAATTCGGCACAAACATGTTTTATAAGAATTTAAATCTCTTCGTAAAATTTTATAAGGATCGGTTCATAATTGACCCTATCCCCAATACAAGGTCCCCTTCAGAAAATGACTTTAATGCTCATATCTGACCTTAAGAAACATATGTGCATATATATAGCAATAAAATTCGACATAAAAAATTTTATAGGAACTAAAATCATTTTCTTAAATTTTATGAGGGTGGGTCCATAATTGACCCTACCCCCCATATAAGGTCTCCTTCAGAAAATGACTTTAAGGCACAAACTAGTTTTGTGTGAGCCAAAAGTTCTTTATCAAGTTTTATAAGGATCGGTCCTTAATTAGCCCTATCCCCCTTGTAAGGTCCCCTTCAGAAAATGACTTTAAAGTTCATAGATTAAAACTGCGAGTACTGAGTACGACATGAACAATTTTCGTATTAGCTACAATCTCTCACTAAATTTTATGATTTTATAATTTTTATCAGTCTGTAATTGACCATACCCACCTATAAGGTCCCCTTCGGAAAATTACTTTAACGCTCATTACTGACTCAAAAATGCTATTACAGCAGTGAAATTCTACGTAAACAAGTTTTGTACTAGCCAAAAACTATTTATCACATTTTATGGGGATCGGTCTATAACTGACCCCACCCTCCATATAAGGTCCCCCTCAGATAGTGACTGTAACGCTCGTTACTGGCTGTAACGCTCAAATGCGACTACAGCGATGAAATTTCACATAAACAAGTTTTGTATGAGTTTATAGTTATAAATATTGGATCAAACAAAATTAATATTTTTAATTCGGAAGAGCACGGTCCATGCTTAAGCCTTTATTAAATTCCCTCTTCCAAATATTTCCCTGATGTTCATAATAATATCGACATATGATTCAACATAGATCGATTATATCAAAGTTTATTTATAAGGATGATTTGATGGTGGGTATATAAGATTCGGCATGGCCGAATATAACACTCTTACTTGTTAAAAGTAAATTTATATGAGTGGCCTCCGGTAGGTTAGTGGTTAGTGTTCTAGTCTGGTAGACCGGAGGTGGTGGGTTCGATTCCCACCTGAGGCACTGGTTAAGGAGCGCACAACAGGCCCGATAGAGGCCTAGGTGTATTTCTTCGGATTTGATGTACATTCATCCTCCTTTCAAACTAACTAACTAACTAACTAACTAAATTTATATGAGGTGGGGTTATTATGGACTGATCCTCATAAAAATTGGTAGAGAGATTTCGATTCCTATAGAACTTATCAGTGTCGTATTTCATCGCTGTACTCGCAGTTTTTAGCAAGTAATGAGCGCTAAAGTAATTTTCTGATGGGGACCTTAAATGGGTGATAGGGTCAATTATGGACCGATCCCCACAAAATTGTGTAGAGAGATGTTAGTTCATACAAAACTAGTTTATGTCGAATTTCATAGATCTACTAGTAGTTTTTAGCCAGTACTGAGTTTTAAAGTCATTTTCTGAAGGGGCCTTATATGGGGAGTAGGTTCAATTATAGACCGATCCTCGTAAAATTTTGTAGAACGATCTTGGTTCATACAAGTCATGTTTATATCGAATTTTATCGCTTTACTCGTTTTTTAAGCCAGTAATGAGCGTTAAAGTAATTTTCTGATGGGGACCTTATATGGGGGTCAATTAAGGCCCGATCCACATAAAATTTGGTTAATATATTTTAACTCGCAAGTAACTTACTTGAGTCGAATTTCATTGATATACTCGTATTTTTAAGCCAGTAATGGGCCTTAAAGTAATTTTCTGATGGGGACCTTATATGGGGGGGTAGCGTCAATTAATGCCTGATCCACATTTGGTAGAGAGATTTTGGCTCGTATAAAACTTATTTCTGTGAAATTTCATCGCTATATTCGTATTTTTAAGCCAGTAATGAGCGTTAAAGTAATTTTATGGATGGGACCTTATATGGGGGGGTAGGGTCAATGATGGACCGATCCACATAAATTCAGATATTGGCTGGCATGAAACTTATGTGTGGAATTTCATCGCTATATTCGTATTTTTAAGACAGTAATCAGCATTTTAGTCATTTTCCAAAGGGGACCTTATATGGGGGTAATGCCAATTGTGGTCTTATGTCAGCCCTAATTCAGAATTTTATTTCGGAAGTCAAACAACTGACTTGTGCGAAATTTTATGGCATTTGATTCATAAACAACGAATTTGTGAATGTTTGAAACTTTTTACACAATATTCCGGGGGGTACATTTGTATGGGGGCTATGTGAAATCGTTGACCGATTTTGCCCATTTTCGATACCAAACATTTCTTATCAATAAGAAATATTTTGGGAATATTTCATCTGATTATCTATTTTTTTTTGTGGACGTTATCGTGCCAAAAACAGTCAGACGGACAGACGGACGGAGATAGCCAGATCGTCTTAGAATTTTACAAGTTCCCAGAATATATATACTTTATGGGGTCTGTGAACAATATTTCGATGTGTTACACACGGAATGACAAAATCATATATCCCGCATCTTTTTTGATGGTGGGTATAACAAATCTTTCTAAAAATTACTTTTTAAAATTTTTTAAAAGGTTTTTCAACTTTTTGAAACTTTTGAACTTTTTATGAAAAGCTTTTTTAAACTTTTTTATGAAAAGCTTTTTCAACTTTCTTTTGAAAGCTTTTTTTTAATTTAAAATAGGCTTTAAAGTTAACAAACATTTTGAATTTAAAAAAATTCTTCTAAGAATTACATTTTAAACATTTTTAAAAAGCTTTTGAACTTTTTTACGAAAAGCTTTTTGAATTTAAAACAAGCTTTAAAGTTTAAAACCCTTTTGAATTTAAAGAAATCTAAAAATTACTTTTAAAAATTTGTAGAAACCTTTTTCAACTTTTTTACGAAAAGCTTTTTGAATTTAAAACAAGCTTTTAAGTTAAAAAAAATCTTTTTGAATTTAAAAAATCCTTTATATTTTTTTTAAATTTTAGTTTTATCTTAGTTTTTAGTTTCAACTTGACATAACTTTTGTTAAACTTTGTTTATAGAAGAGATGAAGTTTTAACAAACTTTTTTTTGTTAATTTGATTGAAAAAAAGTTTCAACAATCTTGTGGAAATATAATATTGAGCTTTTCATTGAAATGAAAAGTTTCATTAAACTTTTTTTGATTGCAAAAAAGCGTTGAATTGAACGATTTCCTTTGAACTTTTTCATTGGAAGTTATTATTTTCTAGTTAGTTTTGATGCTAAATTGTATTTCTTCCACAGTGCCCCTTCCTATGAGGATGCAATGGCTTTAAGTGAAAAATTCTACGATGACACCGAATACATGGAAAACGTGAGCATGTCTAGCGTAGCAACCAATACTAAAACGGAAAATTTTAAACCACGCTATCCCGTCTACTATGATTACGAAACGCCCATTATACCACCCGGTAGTGATGATTCTAATGTTGAATCTGAATAATTAACTAATTCCTATTAATTATACGTTTTTTACTAATATTAACTAAAAAATAACCAAACATTTTTTTTGTTTATACATTTGGAAAAAGTAGTTAGTCCAAACATTAACCAAAACAAAAAAAAAATAATTTGAATATTTATTGAAAATTTTTTATATAAATTAAACAAAACTATTTGGTATGTTAAAATTTTTTTAAAACCAAAATTTTTTATTAAATTTTTTATAACAATTGATGAAAAACAAAAATCTAAAATTGCACGCCTCAAAAAATAAGAAAACAATTAGCATTTTATCTAATAACATAAAAAGCAAAACCAAAATTGTATTTAAGAAAAACTATTTTTTTATAAACACATTTTTCTATAGAATATATTCTAAAATATTTTTCTAATTAAGTGTTAAGTAAGACATATTTTTCTAATTGTAATGCCGTAATATTAATGTTTAACTTTATTTGTTTTTTTTTTCTTCTGTACCACCCCTGTTTACTTTCTTTTACTGTAGAGACCCTTTATGATGCCATACCAACACGTTACCATCAGCAACATCATCATCATTCTATGGTATTGCCAACGACGGATATGTCATCATCTTCGTTAGAATTACATCATGTTAAATCATATAAAAAATTTCAATTACTGCGTTACATAAAGAAATAGTTAAACGATTTTTCTTACATAAATGTTAAAAAAAAAAATAACAGTCCGACAGATAATTTTATGTTTCATATTTAATTTTGTGTATTTTTTTTTTCTTTTCTAGTTAGCAAAAAATTTATATTAAAAATACAAGAAAGTTGAAGAAAAGTAATAAAATATTAATATTATTATGTATAATAAAAGTGCCATTTAATACTTTCTTTGTCCCTTTATTAAACGTGAATTATATTAAAATTTAATAAAAAATAGTTAATAAGAATTTTTCTAAAACAAAAATAATTAACTAAAACTAATGAAACTCGGCTAAGTCGAATTTTTAAACTTTACCAAACTGATTTCTGTGGAATACATATTTGGGCTCTAATAGTCTGACCCTGAAAGCAGCCAGAACCTGCTAACAGTGAGAATACTTACTCTTTACTGATTTTCATAACAACTGTGATCAATTATGGTTAAAATGCATAAAATTTCTGAACCCATTCCATCTTTTCAAACCGAATACATC